GGTGGTCAACCATGGGGAAAAGTTGAACCAGGATTGAGACCATCCTTGCTGACCCTCCCTCCCCTCCCTCCCTTCCTATCCTGGTGCTGTAACCACTATACCAATCTGGGTCTCAATCTCCCATATAAGCAATATAAAAACAAAATAAGGAGGGGAGAGGATTGACTTTAATGGTAGGCTATGCTGAGCCAATCTTTATTAAAAAGTAAAGGAAGTTTGAAAAAAAATGAAAAGATCACCAAGTGTATTGGTAGCAAAATTTTCCGAGGCTTGATACTATCTATAATCCAAATAAGCAGTACTTGGTCTATTAATTGCTCTATACAAACATTGTTATATCATGAATAACTGAAATTCCAATGAACTTTTTTTCTTTTTTGTAAATAACTCGTATGGCACATATGGGCCAACACAAATCCCAGAAATATTTCTTCAGTGTGTCAAGGCACAAGGAGCACATAATGAAATTCTTCCAATTGACAGTCTTGTTAACATTTTCATTAGCAAAGAAAAAAAATGAAGACACATGTTGAAGTATAAGTCATAAACACCTCTTCATAACTGCAAATGGGCAGCGGACAACTGACATTTGTCTATTGTCGATTATCAGCAGCAATTATTACTGAATATCATCAGAAGGAAAAATATAATGCCAAGACATTCCTTTCAAAGAAATGACTGGGGTTATTATTGTATTAGTATTCCCATTTGGGAATCTGTTGTCCCATTTAGCTCAAGTTGTTTATCTTCATATGATGAAATAAGTGGTTTGGGCTTGGTAGATCTGGAATGTTGAGGGCACATTGTCTTTTTGTAAAACGTGTGCCACGACAGGCATGGTCTTGTGAGAGAGAAGGAAGTAGTGTTAAGTGTTATGGTTATCAAATAGTGGCAGATGGAGAGGAAGTTGTCTCCTTGTGTGGGACAATGTAAATAAAAATTAATTTAATCTGGAGCAATCTTTAAATTAATTTAATCTGGGGCAGTCTTTGTCAGTATAATGCAATCAGCTGAAACCTTGAGCAAATTACCATAGACTTGCAATGGATGAGGTGGGAGGGACCAGGAAGAAATCATAGAGCGGCCGGAAAGAGTGTACACCCTGAGTACCTTAGCCAATGGGGATGTAAAGCATATATATAC